GTAGGAAACTCTTGTGGGATACTCTTGTAGGACACTCTTGTGGGACACTCTTGTAGGACACTCTTGTGGGACACTCCTGTAGGACACTCTTGTGGGACACCCTTGTGGGACACTCTTGTGGGACACTCTTGTAGGAAACTCTTGTGGGACACTCTTGTAGGACACTCTTGTGGGACACTCTTATAGGACACTCTTATAAGGGACACTCTTGTGGGACACTCTTGTACGAAACTCTTGTGGGGTATTCTTGTAGGACACTCTTGTGGGACACTCTTGTAGGACACTCTTGCGGGACACTCTTGTAGGGCACTCTTTGTACGAGACTTCCTCCAAAAGTCACACATCAAGTCTCCAAAACGAGCGTTTCGTTCGAGACTTCCTCCAAAAGTCACATGTCAAGTCTCCAAAACGAGCGTTTCGTCGAGACTTCCTCCAAAAGTCACGTGTCAAGTCTCCAAAACGAGCGTTTCGTTCGAGATTTCCTCCAAAACTCACATGTCAAAGTCTGCAAAACGAGCATTTCACCCATCGGAGCACACACATCACGCAGCCCTGCCAAGCAGTTTCGCGAGTCCAGCCCCTCCAAACAACACCCGTTCACACGCCAATCCCACTGTGACAGCGACATTCACCTCTACCACAACTCACGACCTCACAATTCCCTGCGCCTGCAACGAATCTTTCCGCATCCACACGTCTAACGCGCACAAAGTACTGCGCCTGCCACGAAATGTCACCTCCGTCACACCTCGCAACCTCACCATTCCCACGAGAATCGCACTTCCACGCCTCAAAACCCACACAAAGTACTGCGCCTGCCACGAAAAGTGACAATATCATCTCATGTCAGCTTGCACAAAATTTGCACCACACCACACGTTTGGAATGATTTCGACCCGTTCTGAGAACACTCCCATCCACCAAAATCGCCATTTCAGCTGAGACTGGTCACGAAAACAGAGCTTCGATGCCACACCCTGAAACGCAAATCCCAATGGCACGGCCACGTCCAACACCTCAAAAACACGACTCTCCAAACGCCCGCTAATCCCAATGGAGCTGCGTAGCAAACTGCGGATCTCACAAAACGCTGCTCCTATGCAGCGAAATGCATCACGCTTCTTGCGCGACATATCATTTTCATGCAAATCACAATGGAATAGCGTCGCAAACTGACACGTGACACATCCATGAAAAGTCACTTGCAAAAGCTTCCCCCAATGGCAGCGCCTTAGCGTTCTACTGCCAACGGTTGCGAACACCTGCGAACGGTTGCGGACGGTTGCGAACATAGAAACAACGGGTCGCGAACAAGGCTCTACCCCCAGACCCCCAGAGTTAGACGAGAACCCTTCGCTACGCATTCGGGAAAAAGTTCATCTTTTAGAAAAAGATTTTTCCGCTTTATTTCACATGTTTGTTCGCTTTATGTTCGCATGTTGTTTTGCATTGTTTTCATATTTTTTTCGTACAGTGCATATTGCTGACGGGCAAAAGTTCTCATATGTGCAGAATTGGTACCAGGCAAAAGCAACAAAATTGCGTTGCTTTTGCATGTTCATTTGTTTTTTTCACAACAATATATTTGATGGTTGCCATTGCTCAGCGACCTTCTGTAGGTCTTCCATGCTCTTCATGTTCTTTGGTCAACCCAGGTAGCACGGTAGCACACCCAAATATGTTTGAAGATGTGTGGAGGCAGAAATATGAGGGTTTAGGCTGCAGCCCTTTGCAGGCAACATGATGAGTGAAGGAGATTTCGCGTTCATCAGGCGCGTGTTGTGACAGTGTCCACTTCCTATATGCTTCTGATTTTGAAGTGTTCTCAGTTCTTAAGCGAACCTGAGATGGAGGACAATACCCTCACGTCCTTGAACAGCATGCCTGCTCAGTTGCCTTTGTTGCAGGAGTGTCGAGGCAGCGGTCAAGTCTTTGCCGGACTTTCGACTACTTTGTGACACGTCGGAGCCGCAACTTGTTTGGCAAAGTGCGGCCCAAAGCAAAGGAGAACAAAGAGAAAGACGCAGAAGAAGACCCACCCCCGAACTTGTGGAGGAATAGAATCCAAAATGATGCTTAAGCCTTCTTGTTACTATTAGGAAGGCACTTGTTACTACTAACGATGCACTTGTTACTACTAGTTTCTTGTTACTATTAGTAAGGCACTTGTTACTACTAGCGATGCACTTGTTACTACTAGCTTACCCCCGAACTTGTGGAGGAATAGAATCAGACATGATGCTTAAGCTGAAACTGCGACATCTTTTGGATGGTTTTGTGAAAGCACAGCAAGGCTTCTTGAGCGGGCCTGCTTGAATGGCTAGACTGTTTCTCTCCCTGCCTCTCTACTCTAACCATCGGTTTGTCCACTTAGTATATATCACTTAGTCTGGTAAGCAAAAAAGTGTATCTCCACAAGATTGCAAGCGACGGCTTGATTTTTGTTGACATGTTCTCCCAAAGTTTTGGGCATTTTGGAGAATGAAGAGAGGGTGAAGAGAAGAGGGTGAACTGACTCAGGAAGTTCTTGAATCACTGCAATCCTGGGATCTCAATGGCCAATTTCGTGTTCCCTTTCCAAGTGCCTGACGGCGCGGACGCGCGCCACTTGGCTTCGTCAGATCGAGTCCTGTCACAGCGAATGAAGATGACGGTTCTGGAAGACCTCTGAGCAAATCGGTCATTCAGAATGAAACAACATGAAAAAACAATCAAAAACATGGGGATATTGTTTTACTATGTATTTTTGTTGCATACTCATGGCATACAATCCCTGAAATCATCATCATGGTTACGTCATGTGGATGACATCGCCCCTGACTTTGGATCACCATGAAATTCATCCGAATACCAAAGGACATCGATCCCTTTATTGTGACATCCATAGACTGAAGAGGCCTTGACTGGGTGAATGATTATATGCACACCTGAGGACTCTACCTCAACGGCAGCGGCACGAGCGCGGTGCCTTTGGCGGTGGCCGTGGCCCTCGCTCGAGAGGCTGGATAAAACGAAAACAAAACATCCTTTCAGAAAGAACATACACCCCTGGCACACTGACATGGAACCTGAGAAGAAAAGCATGTGGTTCTGGCCATTTCCGATATTTTTTCTATATGTACCAACCCCGTAGCTTTGAGGGTTCCATGTGGTCCTTTGCAGGGGAGTATTTGGACGTCAAACATCATCGAACGACTTGAATCGACAAAGCTGCCAGAATCTGAACTAACTCGAAAACGACCAAAGTGCAATTTCGCAACAACTTCCAAACACTGAGGCAGCACTAAACCCTCAAAATGACCAGAAACATAGACCGACATCGACTTGACGCTCTTTTAGTGGCCCCTTAACAAAAAGAGATAGATCACTTCCAAAAAGATCACTTCCACAGTCCTCCTGGACTCCAAAAAGAAGACGCTCTTTCTGCACCGACCCTTCCGGACGATTCCTCCGCCGGTCTCTTCGCCTGTGGGTACGCGGGCGGCCGTCGCGGCCAGGAGGGGCTCACGGACGTCGTGTGGCCCGAGGAGGTCGGCAGCGAGGCGTGAAATCGAAACGGTGAGTGGATGGAAAGGAGGGTCCTAAGCTGGGGGAGTCGAAAGAAAGGATTTATCACGTGTTGGAGATATGTTTGGGGCTTTCACAAGCAGGTACTTTGTTTTTGTTTTTTTTTGTGTGTTTTTCCTGTTGGGGGATTTGTTAGTACAAACAAAAACATTTATTTTTAGGGGGTGGAACCATGGCAAGGGCTTAGGATGGCGGCAGGATCATGTTCTAGATGTACATTCAAAAGCAGCCTAAAAGTTCCCACAGTGAGCGAGTCAATTGAACGACGAAAACATACATGTGTCATTTGATTTTCTTTCAGCTTGGTTTGAGTCTGAGGGTTTAGTGCTGGGGAAACTGTCAACTAGGACCTTCAGTTCGTGACCTCTTTGGAGTCTGTAAGTAACCTCTGAAGAGGGACAAATCGTGACCGACCCGCCACTGGGATCTCAAGTTCGGTCACGAACTGAAGGTCCTGGACGCTACTAGGAACAAAGGGCATCGGCACGAAGGGAGCGGTCGGACGCTACGAACGGGGCTCCTGGCCTTACTACTAGGAATCCTGGCCTTTGCGTTTGTTGAAGACTATGAACCCCTAGGAGTTCACAGCCGTTCAGGTGCAAATCGTGGGTGTGAGAGCTTGTGGCGATGTGATTTCCAACTGCGCGACGTGGAAGGATCAATGTCTTCAAGGCGCAACGACGTGTACATAACGTGTACAGATCAACCTAACAAACATGAAAGAAACCTCATTGTTTCTTTTTGGGATTTGCAATTGGAAACTGTGTTTTCTAACCTCTGGGTACTGTATGTTTTTTTTCTTTTTCCGGACTGCAAGTGAGAAAGTAAGATGTCCAATAAACTGGACTGCGTTGCAGGTGCAGAGCATCAGGCCTACATGCAGGAGATGGCCCGAGTTGGTAATTGTATCTGGGAGTATCATGTGAAGCTTTGGATTTCTTTGCAGATTAAAGAAAATAAATAACATCAGATTGTCAGAAACGTCCAACAACAAAAACATGGTGATAACACGTGCCTGTTTAAAAAGACTGCTCCTTCCACGCAATGGAACTTCCAGGGCGAGGAGACCCTGCGGTGAAACGCGGTCTGCGTTTACTGCGCAGCAGGACTTCTGCAAAGCTACCTGTGGCATTTGTGACAAAGCGGTGCCGGAGGCCTCGAGTGGGAGAGACGATTCGAGTGAGGAAGCAACAATGAAGGAGGCCTCAATTTGGTTGGAGGCCATCGCTAGTCGGTTGGAGGCCATATCTTATCTAAACGAAGGGAAAGAAGCTGATAGAAGAATCTTGAGTTGTATAGGATCATATAGGATCTATATATGTACATACCTTTAACATCCGAGAATCCGTTGACTAGTTTCAGAGATGTGTGTTTCGAAGTTTCAACCATTTGTTCCAGGCCGAAGTGTCAGCCGCAGTGGCTGAGGAGGTCAATGCCATGAGATCCTACTTCACACTGCAAGCGTTTTGCTGCACTTCAGGCTGAGTATGATCGTGTCGCATTTGGTCTTTCTTTTCAAGGTCAATCATACTATAGCACAACATGAGCTGAATTTGCTGATCGATATCTAAATTGCTGGGTTGTGTACTGTCGGATTTCTTCCTCCTTAATTGTATGAATCTCGGTGTGAGTTCAAGGTTTGTTGCTTCGTCCACGGAATGATCGGATAGTTTGGCCAGTCCTAGGAGTCAACAAAATGAGATGCGTGGAGTGACAAAGACGTCTGGGATAAGTCTGGGGCTGTTTGAGGGCTGTTTTGTTTGGCAAGGCCAAAGCGGTCAAGGCGCAAGAGTGCAGGAGATGGACAGCACTTGGAATCGCTTTGTGCCTTGGACCAAGTGCAATCCCCCCACTGTGCACGCCTGACGCGTCAGGCGTGCGCATGCGTCGGTGGCATGCGTGCGTGCCGACCCTCAGTTGTGGTCGCCGTTTCTCAGGCTTCCTCTCCGGAATGCCGACCCTACCTTTTTCGTGACACGCCACGACCCCGCGGGGTCTCGGCCAGTGGTCGGCCAATCTCCTGAATGGGCGCCCATCGGTCAAGCTTACTTGAGAAGAATCGGAGTCCGAATGTGAAACTGAGGTGGCTGATTTGGTCACCCTGGTGAACGAGAAGAACCAATTGGGACAAGTTCGAGTGTTCTATCAGGGCAATGGTATCGACACCTTCGAGAGCTTGGCAGCGGTCGCCAGTGATATCAAGTTTGTGGCTGGACGAGTATTGAAGAGTTATGCCTTCATGGGATAGACTTGGTTTTCTAGGGAACTTGATAAATAACAAATAAGAGCTTGATAAAGGAGGGAAGTACAACATATATGCTTTGAATTGCTAACAGTTACACATGATCGCATGCCCCGAAGAATCACAAGATCCAGCTGAGGCCATCATGTCCTATTCTTTTGTGCTGATCTATGCCACCTTGCACACGCGAAGCCCTTTCCTGGCCATGGTGGGACTGTTCCTCGTGATGTTATCCATCCCCGCGGCTTTGGCAATTTTCATTCTCACCAGCGGTAGCGGAGAGATCTCGTTGATGATGTGTCTCTCGGTCTTCATTGTCGTGGGTGTGGGCTCCGACATGCTCTTTGTCTACACGGACTTCTACAAGCAATCCTTGCCTCTTAGCAACTGACTAGCAAAGTTGCACTTCATGAACGGGTGAAGCAAGGACATGTCGATTTAGACTATGTCCGAAGATCCCAAAGGCAAATGTTTGCTTTGTTCCAACAAGCTATAATGTCCTGTATATGTTTGTATAGATCTTCAGATTGTGCTGGAACAGCTCGAACTTTGCTGAGGAAGTTCTCCAGAGAGCCAGTCGACAGGCTGAAATTCACATACCTCCAGGCAGGACGAATGCAGAAATACCCACACCCTTTGCTTTGAACCTGTGACACTCTGAGTTGAAAACCTTTGCAACATCAGGTAATTACTCAGCTTGTACTCACCTCCTCAGCTTTAATCAGACGCTAACTCGGAGATTAACACATCTTATGACTAGTTCCAAGACTGCACGGGCTGATCGCGGCATAGCTTATCAACTTCACAGGGCGGCCACGGTCGTCACTTCAGGCGGCCTCTTCCACCGCTGCCACCACCTTTACCACGGCCATGTCGTTCTTCGCCAACTTGGCCTCGGTCTTGCGACCTCTCAGAGAATTCGGCTTCTTCATGGGCATTTGTGTCTGGAGCCCAAGGGGTTCACAATGACCGATGGGTTTAGGGCGTTTAGGGTTATTGGAATGATTGAGCGCCCTCAGGAAAGAGCGGATAGATATAGAGGGTGCTCATTCAGACCTAATTACGGGTGACAACCGTCTTTCTAAATAATTCAGGAAGGAGTCAGGAGTGTCCTCAGCATGGGGAGGAATTCTTAGGATTCTTCAGGTTTGGTTTGAGTCTCTGGATGGAAAATACAACAGCAGCGGCGACCAAGAACTAAACAGCGTCGAACGGTGGAAGATTTATGGTAACTATTTCGTTGGTTGTCCATTTGGGAACGGTTTTCCCATTATAGTCACCAGGTATATAATCATTCGCTCAGAAATACAGGGAGAGGCAACCACCGGTATTTCTTCTTGTCCCAGCAACCTTAAGGTCACACTAGCGTGGCTGATCGTTTTCCTCGCCTATCCATCCACGTTGGTTCTTGGTGAGCGTTTGCACACTTGCTGCAGGCCTGGGGAAAAATCCAGAGAGCGAAGAGCTTCGTTCCCGTGTTTCGTTCCCGTGTCGAAGGGCTTTTGCTTTAGGAAATCAAGGACCCGAAGGCCGCCGGTGAGGGTTTTGCTTCGGGTCCTAAGTGACCTGAAAAGCTTCGGGTCAGTTCGATTCTCCAGTTCGGAGTCCAAGGATGCTTTTCGGGTACAAACAACTTCCCCTGAAAGGCTTTGTGACACTACTCTACTAGAACACTCATCCAATCATGTCAATCATCCACTGGACGTCCACCTTTGCAGGCGATGCATTTTAGCACAAGCGAAGCCGGCTCCGCGGCGTGTGTCGGTAGCTCGTTCAGCCCAGCGCAAGAGCCACTGGGCAAGCAAAACGGATCCGTTTTCAACTTACCTCCCATGGAAGTGGAAGGAAAATGCTTTGTGTGGAGAGAGAAACAATCAAGTCTTCCCAGTGTTCTTTCCAAGAAGTGAATTGTCGACTTCCATGTCACTCTGTCAGGGTCGTGTAAGCATGGTGTTCCTTCCTGAAAATACCTGAAGAACACCTCAGACATATGAAGAATGAATCCTTCTGTAACCCGACCCCCCCGGTCTGTATAAACACAATAACGAAAACGGTGCACGACTGATGAGGGCGCCTTGGACTGATGAGGCATGGTGATGTTGGCTGAAGCCTTGGATCCGGAGAAGAAAGGCGTGGGAGCGGCTCAAGGCAGCTGCTTGGGCGACTACATGGCCACGTTCATCGAAAGGTTACTCGAATCCAATTCAAAAGGTCGCTGGCAGGGGTTGACCAATGCGTGGTGGGAAACAATCGAAACATTTTTCCGTATGGATTTCCATATGTTTTGAAGAAATGCAAAGCAAGAGATAGGAAAAGGAGATGTTGAATGATTTTGGAAGATCCGGTTGCACAAATGTGCGTTAATTTTAATCCTTTTTAACCATGGACGCGCCTTTTAACCATGTGCGTCCGAGCCGAGGTTCAAATATCCACTGGTGTTGATCTTCTTGATCATCACGGCCATTCAAGGCTATTTGGCCGTGTCCAACATGACACAAGCCACTGGAATTCCTCAGACCTTCCCCGACTGGCACAACCAGGACCGACGAGAACGTGCGGTGCATTCGTTCAGATGTGGACCACGCTGCCATGCTGCCGGGACCAAATATTTGTTAGAACATGTTAGAACCGCATTCTTACTAGCCGTTGGTCCAAGACGATCGCTATTTTGGGGGGGAAGGAAAGGAAAGGGTTTGCAATCTAAGCATCATCCTCCTCCTCCTCCTCATCATCCTCATCCTCATCCGCATCCTCATCCTCATCCTCATCCTCATCCTCATCCTCATCCTCATCCTCATCCACTAGTGCACTCTTACTGGTAGTGAGATATACCCTACATGTTTTGGGCCTAACCACACCCACCCTTGAATTCCTTCAAGAAAGGCTCCCTTGTCTTGGACTCGTTGGACCTGCCAATGGAAGCTGAAATGTCAGGAGGCAGGCAAGGAATACAATGGCCTTTTTGGCTCCTTCGCACCTTTGGGCAAGAAGTTATTGCACTCTGATTCATCAACATGTTTTGAGTGGAATAATGATCAGATGTTTTCCTGTCAAGGATTGTACAGGGGCCATGCCACCACTTCCATGGTGGTGAGTCCGAGTGTACTCGTTTTGAATGCGAAACGAGGAAACGTGACGTTTTCAAACCTTTGCCGTGGTTCGCTGCTGCGGTTCTAGAGTTGCGCCGTCCACAAGGAATGGCGCAAGATCACAGTGGATACTTATCCAAGCTATGCATTGAAACCTGGTTTTGCTTAAGGTGATTGGCAAAATTTTCCCTATGGGTGAATCCCCTGACTTTTTTAAACTGTTTCCAGCTCCGAATCAACATATTCAAGGAAATGTGCAAATCTCTTTCGCTCCTGCCAATTCCACCGCTGTGAAACACACGGTCAACGCCTCGGCAATCTCTCGAGTTGCCTCTTGGCAAAACGGAGACCCGAAGGCACACCCGAAGGGAGTGTAGTTTCCATGGACTGTCTTGGATCATGTTGGATCCATGATTTCGGGAGGGAAGAGTCTTAGCACCGCCAGCGCGCTGGCGCGCCAGGTCTTTGCATGCCTATATGTTTGCCAAGGTTGACTGCCTTTTTTTGTCTGAATGGCTCGTCATTTCCTCAACCTGATTCGTTTCGAGGAGAGGGATTAATCTGACTCATCTGAAAACCGAGGCAAATGCGTCCCGCACTTGTCCGCTGAACCTTCTGCCAATGACGGCTGTGGTCACTATCGTGTCAAGAGTCGCGTGGTGGGGCGAGATGGCCTGGAGACCGGGCACTTCCTTCTGGAGGATTTGGAAGCCCGGAAGCAGGGGCCGATCCGAAGAACCTTCTCCACACGTCCAGACACGTGTTAGAGTGGAGACCGGCCGACCACCGCTCGACCACCGGAAGAAGGAACATATAGACTCTAGACCAGTCTACTACCCTGCCAGGGGCGGGTCTCCAGTGGGTCGTTTCCCTATAGTCCAAATACAAAGCCATTTGACTGAATAACGGTTCGTCATCGTTTTTTTCGCTTTGGAAGGTGATCCTGGCTGATCCGAATGCGGAGGGCCATTTAATTTATGATTTTTTGTGTTTTTTGTAAGGATTTTTTCTTGCTTTTCGTGGCTTTCGTGGCTTCTGTGGCTTCGTGGCTTTCGTGGCTTCTGTGGCTTTTGTGGCTTTCGTGGCTTCTGTGGCTTCGTGGCTTTCGTGGCTTCTGTGGCTTCTGGCTTTTGTGGCTTTCGTGGCCTCTGTGGCTTTTGTGGTCTTTGGCTTTCGTGGCTTCTGTGGCTTTTGTGGCTTTTGGCTTTTGTGGCTGTTTGCTACTAGTCCATCTTTGGAGGAATGTGAAGTCAGCGCCCAAAAGCTTGGTTTGTGATTTTGAGTCAGTCCATCAGATTCCAACCCACACTGCGGACTCGTTTGCATTGTCCCACATTGATGACTTCCAGCCGCTTCTTCATCACATTTCTTGAGAGTCCTGATTCAGGTCGCCATGTTCATCCTTTGGAAATGCTTGCAATGCAGCAAGCTGGCAAGCTAGCAAGCTAGCAAGCAAGCAAGCAAGCAAG